TAACTGCTGTTTTAAAAAAGAGGGCCCTAATACTAAAATTAGTTATTATATTAATTTATTCCTTAAAGCAAAATACCTGAACCCAATTTAAGTATTTGTTTTCAATTGTGTTAACTTTGAATTTTATAAAATTCAAATGCCAAAGTCAGTCAGATATAATAAGTGAATATAAATATGCAAATCGGGAAGATGTACTCATCAACTCCTATGGAATGAGATATAGTATATATACACAGTAATATTTTCAAAATGTTTATTGTTAGCTGTAACTAAAAAACAGTAAATAATTTAGCAAAGTATGTAATTATTTGCTTAAGTATGTGATACGTAAGCTTTAAATACTGGAGAACGCAAAAGTAATTATAATAAAAATACAAGAACGGAGTGATAAATATCACCAAAAATGACTGAGTAGGGAACTTCAGGGTTCATTCCTTTCCCAAAAGCAACTAATGAGCTGACATACATTTTTAGAATCAACTTTTGCACAACTCTGGAATCTATTCAAAAACTCCAAACAGTGGGGTGCCTATGTGGCTCAGCTGGTGTCCAACTCCTTATCTCAGCTCACATCTTGATCTCAGGGTCATGCATTCAAGCCCCCACTATGAGCACAGAGCCTACTTAAAAAAAAACTCAGAAAAGCCAAGGGGAAGACCTAGGGAAGAATAAAGCTGCTACTTTGCAGTGAGAGAGCACTGTGGTCTTTTAGGTTGTCTATTCATTTTTCCTCACACCCAGATCAGCAGTGGCTGTGAAGATGACAGTTAGCATGCCTGGTGCAGGCTTCTAGTGCCACAGGAAGCATATGGACCTTATTTTCACTGGCATCTCCCTTAAGGCCCAGCACACAGGCCAGCTTTTGTTTCACCCAACTCAAGTAATTCCCAAGGCTGGAGCAGCATCCCAGATAGCTTTTCCTAAAGATTTGGCACAGCAGCCTGAGGCAAAGGACAACAATTTGGACAAGCAATAAAGAGAAAAGCCTGGGTAAGAAAAGGTTGGGAAAGGTGACACATGACACAAAAGGGACTCTAAAAGCTCTTGAATAGAGACTATGCAAATGCCAAGGGGAAAAAAGGCAAAAAATAGCTTGAAAAGACCCTAAGCTTTCACTTAAGCAAGTAGAAGTGAAGGATAAGGCAAGCTGGATAGGGCAAGCTGTAAATGGCCTGGTTAATTAGCATTGAAGGAGTGCCTCAACAGAGCCAATCTGCAAAGACTGGGTGAGTATTTTTTTCCTTCTTCCTTTTTTCTTTTTTTATGCTTCAAGCATTTAAGATAACTGGCAGAACATCACCTGACCACTAATCTAATGAAACACCAAACTTTAGGGGCCCCACACAACAAAGAATTTATACTTTCCAAAAACATTTCAGAAGTCATAAACCAACAAACAACAAATCACAACAAGAACCATCAACAAACTCTGGGTAGTGAGGAAAAAAATCTGATTCCCAGAACTGCCACAATATAATATTCAAAATACTCAAATTTCAACATAAAATTAGGAGGCATACAAAGAAACAAGAAATAAGAAATTATGGGCCAGGGGCGCCTAGGAGGCTCAGTGGGTTAAGCCTCTGCCTTTGGCTCAGGTGATGATCTCAGGGTCCTGCTTGGCAAGGAGCCTGCTTCCTCTTTTCTCTCTGCCTGCCTCTCTGCCTACTTGTGATCTCTCTTTGTCAAATAAATAAATAAAAATCTTAAAAAAAAAAGTATGGGCCATTCATAGAATGAAAATAATGAAAAGAAAGATAGCTCAGGTATCGGACTTACTAGACAAAGACTTTAAATAAATTGAATAAAAATCTGTTCGAGGAGTTAAAAGAAACAATGGACAAAGAACTTAAAAAAATGAGAAGAAACAGGAAAACAATGTCTTGCTAAGCAGAATATCAAAGAGACAGAAACTGTGTAAAGAAAACATATAGAAATTCTAGAGCAGAAAGTGTATTAATTGAAATAAACTTCGCAGCGGGGCACCTGGGGGGCTCAGTAGGTTAATCATCCGACTCTTTATTTTGGCTCAGGTCATGATCTCAGGGATGTGAGACTGAGTACCACATCAGGCTCTGTGCTGGGCATGAGCCAGCTTAAGAGTCTCTCTTCCCTCTCCCACTACACCTCCCCCGCCTCTCTTAAAAATAAAAGAAGTTATACATGGATTTTTGACTATATCAGGGGAGGGGATCAGCACCCCAAGCCCAGCATTATTCAAGGGTCAACCATTTATATAACACATACCAATTATATTATATACTATATATCTATATATATTTTAGCTTTTTTCTTTAATGATTATTCTGGAAATTACACTTAACATCTTGAATACCTACTTATTTTGAATAGTATACAAATACTTTCAATAGCATATAAATATAATTAAATATCATTTAGGCATAAAAAGGAATGCAGTACTGATACATGCTACATTGTGTACGAACCCTGAAAATGTTATGCCAAGAGAAAGAAGCCAGACACAAAAAGTCACATATTGTAGGATTCTGTTCACAAAAAAATATGCAGAATAGGTAAATCAATAGAGACAGGTTGATTAGTGGTTGCCAAGGACTAGGGGAAAGGGAAAGTGACTATTTAATGGAAATAAGGTTTTCTTTTGGGTTAATGAAAATGTTCTATAAGTAGACAGAGATGAGAGTCATAAAATGTGAATGAACTAAATGCCAGTGAATTGTAAAGTAAAAACAGTTATTTTGCTATTGAATTTTACTTCCATAAAAAACTAAATATCAGAAAAACCCAGAAAGAGACAGGAACTAAATGAGCTTAGTAAAATTTAAATAAATAGCATGGTAAGGGCAGATCACTACAGGTAACTTAAATGGGAGAAACAGTATGAAGTTGAAGGCCTAAAATGAAAATACTATGAACACTGATACTCTGTAGGACAGTGTAGCAATTGGTAGGTATTAGGAAAAGTAGATCAAAAACTAGGAGATCCAGAAATTAAAAATTAAAAAATGAATGATGGCACTTTGTTGAGGAATTTGGACTACACAGAGGAGAATGAAACAAACAGTATTCTAGAAAGATGAGTACAATCATTGGGAAGGACCAGTAAGGACTTAAAAAATAGAACCAGAAAAAAAAAAAAAAAAAAAAAAAATAGAACCAGAGTAATCATGTAAAAGGTTATTGCTATAATCAAAGGAATGGAAAAGGAAAATGTATTTACAGGACTAAACCCATATTAACTGAAAAAAATCCACATGTAAATGGACCTGTGCCTTGTGAAAAGTGAGAGGAAGCAAAAAATAGACTTTTGTAAGAAATAAAAGTTATAATTTGGCAATCCACTGTATATGTGAAATGACTGAAAGAAATCAATTTCCAAGAACTCAAAAACTATCAATGAGAAGAAAAACGGGAAGATATTGCTAGAAGATTTTTCTAAGGATTCAAGAATTACAAGTAAGAGGAACAATGGTATGGGAGATTTATCTGTAGAGAAGAGAATGTTTTGGCATTTAAAGGATTCAGATTCTGAGACTACCAGGTAACATCAAAGTGAAAAGTTTACTAAGTATTAAGAGATCTGAACTTGCATGTTATATGAGAATATGGGAGTCAAAGTCTCAGATTTTTTTAAAAACACAAAATGAGAAACAATTAATGAAACCACTTTTTTAAATCCTCAAACATTTTAAAATTCTAATTCAAAATTCTCGACCATATTAGTAAAATAAAGTTTAATAATTAAGCAACACTATCACTATTAGAAAGATCTGCTAAAGGTAAGTAAGAGGACTAGTAACGTACTACATGGTACATTAACAAAATTACTACAAAGATCTTATTATTTAAAAAGTCTCACTTCAAATAAAATTAACAATATGAACCCAAGAAAATAACTTTCAGGCTAAGAAATATATAAATTCTAGTCACATTTGGTTGCAATTTGCTTTATAACTAGAAAACAGTGACTTTATTTTCATGGACCCCTTTTCCCTCATTTATAAAGTAAGGGTCTACAAGTGGTTTGCAAACTCAGCCTCTGTAGACTAAGCTCATATTTCAGACAGCAAAATAGAAACCACGCATTTACTATATGACAAGATGAATGTACTGATAAAAATTTCCAGTTTCTTAGTCTTGGAATAAAATGATTTACTACAGCATGTTATCATGTGTTCATTTTAGTCATTTAGAAGCTCTGGCACTATATGTATATGTATGTGTATAGTTATATTTAATAAAAAAAGAAAAGTAAAAATCATTAACAAATATAAATTAACAAATTAATATCTTTACATCATAACATCCATGGCAGGAAGTGGGTTAATATAAAAAGAATCACTTACAATAAATATTATTTGGTACTTACGACATGCTAGATAATACCAGCCTTTCCTCAGTGACTAAGGCTCTCTTATGGGTTGAACTATACGAGAAGTTCATATATTGAAGTCTGAACCCTAAGTACTCTCCGACTGTGATTCAATTTGTAAAGAGGGTCTTTACAAAGGTAATTAGTTAAGATGAGGTTATACTAGAGTAGGATGGGCCCCAATCCAATCCAACCGGTATCCTTGTAAAAAGGGGAAATATGGGTGCGCGGCGTGCGCGCGTGCACGCACACACACATACACAACACACACACACTTATAGTGCCATATGAAGACAAAAGATTTCCACAAGTCAAGGAATGTCCAAGACTGTCAGTATACCATCAGAAGCTAGAGGAAGGAGACACATGGAAAAGATTCTTTCTTACAGCCTTCGAACAGAACCAGTTCTTCCAACACCTTGGTCATAGACTTTTAGCCTCCAGAGCTATGAGACAGTACTTCTCTGTTGTTTAAGCTACCAGTTTACGGTACTTTTTTTACGACAGCCCTAGCAAACAAATGGTGCCTCTTTTTACTTCTAATATTTAGAAGTTAAATGTAATTATTATCAACTTTGAAAATGTATCCCCCAAAACAAGTAATAAAAATAATGACACATGGGTATACAATTCAAATCAGTATACGAACCTGTAGTTCCGTAATAACTGTTTTATGCCTCTTGTTACATTCAATCTTTTCAACTCGTGTTTTCAATTCTGCCAAAGTCTTATCAAATACAGCACACTGTAGTGCACACAATTTTTCTTCCAGCAACCACTGTACAACCTAAAGAGATATATTTCTTTGTTACAGTCAAAGAAGGCATTTCAGCAAGCAGAGAAGAGTAAATATTCTTAAGGACTAGTAAGACAGTTATAATGTATTGATTAATTTCAAGAGAAACACATTGGCATTCATGACACAATGATATCTGCTAAAAGCCTCTACTTCTACATGTGTCTACTATGACAAAATTATACTAAAAACAGAAAATTTCCAGAGGGTAAAATTTTATAAATGATTTTATACTGAGGTTTTAATATTTATTTCTCATACCTTCTGTGATTCAAAGGAAATCAGTTAAAAGACCAGTTTTTAAAATTTCTAATCTGTTGCACATGATATTTTTGTGAGACTAAGAATATCACTGCACTATGAAATTTCTAGAAAATATTTCTAAATGTCTACTTACAACTTACATTATTTATCTTATTATGGGTCCCTAACAAATAGAATACATAGTACATGTCCACAATCCATACTTGAGTAACACTGTTCCAGAGGAATACATTCTTAGTACACATATAAGTTTCAAAATTCACATACCTATCTTCGTATTTATAATAGCTCTGTAAAAAAAACTAAACATTATTACCTCCATATGACAAATTAAAAAAGCTAGGAAAGAAAAATGGCACTTTTTTATCACCTCACTAATTAACTGCTTTTTTCTAATATGAGTATTTATACTGTATCTTAGTGGAAAAAGGACATTGGTCTAAAACATAGATTATTTATAATTTCATTATTACATCTGTAAGACTTTAAAAAATTAATTTCACTGGACTTTCATATTCCTCTTAAAAAGGCATCTGTCATACACATCTGTTAACACATTTAGAAAAGTATATTAAATACTACATATTTTCAATATTTCTAACTCTAGTTTCACAGATACAGGCAGATGTTTCTAAAGTTTATATTTTAAATAATTCCATTCCCTAGTCATTCTAAGGCCCTGTCCCTACTATTTTTTAATAGTAAGCCTAAAGAACATAACAATGAGTTACAATGTAGGAACTTACAACCATAAAACCACCTTATAATGAAGATTAAAAAGTTAATGTATTTTTTAGAAGTTAAAATATAAGACCCTAACATTTCCACAGAATAAAATTCAATATGAAAGAAAAAATAAAATCCAAAAACTCCTTTAAAAAGAATCAGTTTTAAAAATTAAATTACTGGGGCGCCTGGGTGGCTCAGTGGGTTAAAGCCTCTGCCTTCGGCTCAGGCCATGATCCCAGGGTCCTGGGATCGAGCCCCGCATCGGACTCTCTGCTCAGCAGGGAGCCTGCTTCCCTTCCTCTCTCTCTGCCTGTTTCTCTGCCTGCTCACAAGCAGTCACAAACAGTCTCTCCATCTGTCAAATGAATAAATAAAATCTTTTAAAAAAATAAATAAATAAAAATAAAAAAATAAAAATTAAATTATTAAGAATAAGCTCAACCACTTTAAGTTCTATGAAAAACCTAAATATGTCAGTGAAATACAGAATAATGTCAAAAACCTAGAAGAATAAAAATGGTCACATGTTTATTATTTAATATCATTTTTAACTTATAATCTGTAACACCTTTTGTAGCTTCTGGTTAATATCTCCTTTGGCTGTAATCTTCACTTGAAATTCTGCTTCATATTCATCTTCCATATATCGACGACGTTTGGACTGTACATTGTCCATGTCCTCTGATTTAGAACGTTTTCTTCTGGAAAATTCACCTGAGGACAAAAAAGCATGATGACTTTTATTACAGATCCTAATGCTTCTTTTCCATTCTCAGCTAAATATTATTCCTAGTTATCACAGTATCATTCTCACTCAGCAATTTTATGAATTGTTTTAGAGACTAGAAAAATGGATAGGTAGCTTTTAAACTCTGAACTTATTTTCAGTATGCTAAACAAGAACACCCTGAGGGCTAAGCAATGTATAATGTGAACATAAAAGATTCTTCTCTTGAAATCATATTAAGATAGAGAATCACCTAAAATATGAATATGAGATGAGAAGAAATCATCTTCTATTCATTCCCTTTGCTAAATTTTATAGTGCACATGAATCCCCTTACAAAATATAATATTCATTCTCATGTCACAGATATCTATCAGCTGTACATAGCAGCTTTAATAGCTTTAATTATTTCCTCCTCTTCAATACAATTTTTTTCTCAGCATTTAGAAAAAATCTTCATCATTAGCCTTAGGGAAGTAACATAAGACTAGTTACTCTTCTTTTTTAAAGATTTATTTATTTGAGAGAGAGAAAAAAAAACTCGCAAATTTGCAAGGGCAGCGGGGGGGAAGGGTGGAAGGAGAGGAAGAGAATCTCATGCCAACTCCCTGCTGAGTGCAGAGCCCCCACACAGGGCTCAATCCCACAATCCTCAGATTATGACCCTCAAATTATGACTGGAACCAAAATCACAAGTCGGACACTTAACTGAGCCACCTAGACACCCAAGGCTAGTTATTCTTAACATGTCCTAATGAATTTCAAATAAATAAAAACAGTAAAATTTGTGTCATTATAAAAATAAATCTGGTAAAGATATTCAAAGATCTTCACTTAGAAAATTTATATTTCAAATACTGGTAATACAGTCATGAGATCAAATTTTATCTGGTATCTTTTTCAATATATAAAACGTAAAAATACTAAAATCTCCACTTATTAAAGGGAAATGTCCTTATGTGACCATAAGTATCCTTCTTTGCTTTTCTCTATACCCATTTATCTATGTACCTACTTTAAAAATCCAGTTCTATTTCATGACTTCCCTTATAATCATGACTCATCTAGTCATACATGGAAACCAGAATGACAAAAAGAGATACAGAACCTAGGCTTCCCGACTTCTAGTCCAATGATTATCTTATAAACCTAACTACACCCTGTCCCATCAAGTCCCCTTTCCCGTGAAGCCTAAGAACCTTGAGGAGACAGACACATATTTTCATTAACTTGTATCACCTCCGACAAAATTCTTATAGCTCCATGCTCTAAACATAAATCTTAAACAATTTATCTCAAGACATTCAAATAGTACCTTATTAAATATTAAGCATAAATTTTTCTTATAAAACAATTAAAAGTATAAACAACATACTGAGGTATATGAAAATAATACTTTCAAAAATCCTTAGGTTAGCTGTCAATAAAATGATTTAACTGTGTTTTACTTAAACTGCAAAATTTTTGAATTATCTCAAGAAAGGAAATATATTCCATAGCCTTAAAAGAAGAAACAATGAATAGCTATTTTTCTAAACTAGTTCAGGTTTTTTGTACATGCTTACTTTTCTCAGAAGGTCTTTCATCTTCATTTATTACTTGTTCTTCTTCCTCAGGTTTGCTATCCTTTCCATTAGTTTCTACTTCTGCGGTAACAAAAACAGAAAAGGAAATCTTACTTCCATCAGTATTTATTGAAGCTCACTGTAATTTACAATTTTGGTATTAACAATCCAGTTAATATGCTTTTATAAAATCAGTCTCAAAATGTGAAATTTTAGTACTAAAAAGGGAACATAGCATGGATTGGTAGAAATGAATGACTAAGTCCACTTTCAAATGTTCCTAGAAATTCATAAAAAGCTCTTAAACATGGAAAAAAATAGTATAAATTTTAAAACAAAGAATCTTACTTAGTAATTTGCTGTCAACAGTAGATTAATAAAACCTACTCTAAAGCATTTAGATTCCATTACATTCAATTATTAAAACTAAAATACTGGGGTGCCGGGGTGGCTCAGTCAGTGAAGCATCTGCCTTCAACTCAGGTCATGATCCCGGGGTCCTGGGATCCAGTCTGTAATCTGGCTCCTTGCTCAGTAGGGAGCTGGCTTCTCCCGCTACCTGCAACTCCCCCTGCTTGTGAGCACTCTCCCACCCTCTGTCAAATAAATAAAATCTTAAAAAAAAAAAAAAAAAAAGGAAAAAAGAAAACCCTAAAATACTGTAGTGGTTGTGACAATTACAAAAATTACCAAGTACTGCCAAATTCAAAACATCTAACATTTTAACCAGATAAAATTATTAAGTTACTTTAATGGTTATGAGAGAGTTCATAAAAAAGAAAAAGATAACAAAAGTTAGGGTGCTTGGGTGGCTCAGTCTTTAAGTGGCTGCCTTCGGATCAAGTCATGATCCCAGGGTCCTGGGATTGAGCCTTGCAGGCTCCCTGCTCAGCAGGAAGCCTGCTTCTCCCTCTCCCACTTCTGCTTGTGTTCCTTCCCTCGCTGTGTATCTGTCAAATAAATAAATAAAATCTTTTTTAAAAAATTAATTAAAGATAAATAAATAGACAACAAAAGTTTAACTTAATAGTTAACTGATGCCAGTGCCAACAACTGAGTTAAGTGTATGACACACAGTACTTTATATCCTTAGCATAATCCTATACAATAAACACTATTTCTACCATCACTTAGATGAGGAAAGTCCAATGTTCAAAAAGGCTTCAGTAATTTTCAAAAGGCATATAAAATATAACAAAGAGTGCTAACAAAAATATCTTGCTAAAAATGTAATTACATTGTTACAATAAATAAAACCCCACAGGTACCAGAAAGGATCTTTAGTCAATCTATTACCTCAACTAACAATCATGAACTGGGGGAGAAGAACAAATCATTAATATGTCTGGGTTTCTATTTTTCCCCCTTACATCACTGAAACTGGCTCCCCAGGTTTTCAATAAAGCATCTGGTCTCATTATATCCTACAACCAAAATTAAATACATAATCACAAGGAATATAACATTATAAAAAGATTTTGATATGGCATTTCTTCTCCAAACAACAGGGTTTAATCCCAACAGCCCTTGATGGTAGAAGTCAAGGCTAAAATAACTGTAAAGACCTTTTAGGTGAAAACAGGCAGATTATGAGGATCAATGATGAACCTATTAAGGCTCTTAAAAATATTTTCTTCACACTAAGGTAAAACAATAAAGCTATAAAACATGACAACAGTCAAAACAAAACAGCACATAAAGATTACTAAAATTTTTTTTTATAAGTTAGCTCCACACCAATGTGGGGCTTGAACTCATAAGAACAGTTCACATGCTCTACAGACTAAGCCACCCAGGCATCCCTACTAAAACTATTTTTAAACTTTAAAAGAAAGGCGTAATAAAAATAAATAAATGAGTATTAGAAAATTAACTTTCCATTTACTATGCTCATTAGAAATATTTTAAGATCCTATCCCTCAACTCCAGTTTCAATGAAATGAAAATGTTTTGCTCCCTTGTAGATCACAAACTCATTACAAAGCATTTTTTTCTACATATAGGTTTCCAAATCCTCCTGATTTTAATACTGAGGGTGGTGACTCCTGAGTTTCCTAGTCCCCAGAGTCTCCAGAGACAAAGAATAACTGGGTTGCTTGAGATGAAGGTTTATACAGTCTTTATCTGGCAAATTATGTATGATACCACCCAAAGAACAAAATTAGCTATGGCTCCACTCAGGGTAACTACAAGCCAGATCAGCCATAATACAGCAGAGCAACTGGCCTAACGATTTGGTTTGAGCTGTCTCTTAATCATATGTTAGCTCCCTCTCCTCTTATAAATATGTCAAACATAGCTTGAGCTTTCTCCATTTTCTCAAAACCTCCTACCCGATTCCCATTTTCCAGATATGCCTGGAAGATACGGCTAGATTCTAAACACTTTAAAAACTTATTGGAATTTTAAAACAGACAAAGTGGATTAAACTTTATACTTCGGTTTTATTTAATGGAAAGAACTTGGGATAAGAAAAATGGTATTAACAGATTTTACAGAAAGGAACAAGGTCCTATATTTAATTTTTTGTTTATAAAGCCTCTAGAGAACCTGAGAGTGGACCTGCTTAAACCCAGAATAGTAATCAAAGGCCCATGCACACAGACATTTTTATATATAATTTCAAGTAGGTCATGGGATGCCTGAAACTCATCCAAATACTCAGGTTAAGATGGTCTTTTTTGGAATCTGTCCTCATTCATAGTTTCTGTTTTAATTCCTCTAGTCTTGAGTATAGACTTATGGCAAGTTAGCCCATCTTCATATACAGTTCTATATGTGGCATTCCTTCCTTTCAACCAGACTAGACAATAAGTAAGCTCACTAAGAACTGATACCGTATCTTGTAACTTTGGTAATCCTAAAAACTTTGGGAAAAGAAATGAGACAAAGGAGATGTTTATCATCTATCTGGTGACTATTATCTTAAATAAGATTTCATAAGATAAAGGTATAAAAAGTGTACTGGAGAGGACAATACATAGTTAGTTTCCCATTTTCATTAGTCCAATGAAATATGGACAAAAATAAGTGTCACCTTAGAGATTGGCAAACATTTTTTGTAAAGCCCAAAAAATAAATATTTTCAGTCTTGTGGGCCATATGGTCTTTGATACAACTACTCTGCCCTTGTAGTGGGAATCAGTGACAAACAATATGTAATAGTAAATAAACAGATGTGGCTCTATTCCAATAAAACTTTATTGACAAAAACAGAGCCTATAGGCTATAGTTTACTAATCCTGTGTTTGAAATTACTGACTCTATGAGAATATTTAAAACAAAACAAAAAATTCCTATAGATTAACTGAAGATAATTTCATCCATTAGCAAAATGAGCAAAGTAGATAAACAGGCAATTTATAGATAAGGAAATACAAGTGGCCAATAAACATAAAAATTCTCAACTTCACAAAGCATATCAGAAAAATGTGGCATTACTTAATAAGACATTTCCAGAAATTTTTTTTGAAGCTTTATTTAATACAATCTTCCAAATAATACCTTCTACAGTGAATTTTTGTGCTCCCTTTTAAGGCAAAACTTGAGGGGGGGAGAGTTATATTTTATCATTTCCAATTCTCTTCCCATTCTCTCTGAAACCCAATCTCCATTAGGTTTTCAATTCCACCACCCATGTCATGGTCACAAATGATCTTCAGGTTATTAAATATTTGTTTCCCATCTTACTTGAACAAACAGCAGCATCTGATACATAAACAAAATTGGGCTGATTACTCCCTCCTTGCAACATCCTCTTTACTTGACACCTTTAGGATAACAAAATCTCCTGATTTTCTTTCTACCAGAAAAGCTGCTCTTTCTTTTCTTTTTAGTTAATATACTTATTTATTGTTTTTATTCTTATTATTGAAGTACAGTTGACATATTAAGAGCTGCTCTTTCTTGATGTTCTTTGCCGGTTTCTTCTTCATCTCCCAACCTCTAAACACTGGAATGTCAAGAGCTCAGTTCTTACACCTCCTCTCATCTCCATTTATACTCACTGATTATCACTGAGGTGATCCCATCTTATCACTCAACTTTAACTAAGGTTGAAGTATATGCTATCTGCTCCTAAATTTGTCTAGACAGTCCAAACCTCTGTTCTGAAATACACCTATCTAACTTAGGCAGTAACAGTCACCTGAAACTGATGTTCCTCCTATACTTCCCTTTCCAAAACCTGCTTCTTTGATCTTCTTCAACTCTGAAAAGAAAAATCTGCAATTTCCACCAATGCATAGGAATAAGAGGTTCCACAAAGAAAAACCAAATACAGTAGGAAATAACTGAACATAAATGGATGGAGATAATAAAGAACTTTAGCTGAACAAAATAAACAGTGACAATAAAATATCACTAAATTTTAATCAACTAAACCACAGTAATTCTATCACTACTAACCTAAAGCAAAAACAGACAAAACCCATGAAATTCTACTCCTATGCAATTATCCTCATAAGCACTTACACTCATCATATTTATCTTAGAGAGTAAAAAGGGAAAAACAAATCAACCACAGATATATTTTTCATTTGAAATAAAATTTGGAAGGAAATTATATCAAAATTTAGTGTAAAATCTGGTTTTATGTAAAACATATTTTTCTCCTCTAAAATATTAAGAAATAACAATGTTTATAAAACAAAAAAAGCAGGTGGAAAAGAGCTCTCTCTCCTATTTCTCCATTAAGAAACAGAATGAGAAGGGCCAATAAGGATTTTAAAAAAGGAGAATGCCAGAGCCAAAAGGCTAGACGGTCTCAAGAGGGAAGGACCATTAAAAAAAGCAGCCAAGTGTGAGCGATAAAGACAAAGTTTTGGATTTAAACCCCTGGTTTTAACAATATGAGCATAAATGTCACTTCACTGAAAACAAAAAGGAAGGGGGACTGCCAAGATGAAAATCAAAATCCAATTAAGTTAAAGAACAAATAGGAGGAGAAAAAACAGTGCTAGCCCATTAAAAGAACCTGAAGAACGACCGTGAAAGAGGAAGGAGATGGAACAGAAGCTAGAGAAAGAGTACATGGCATGGAAAGTGAATGAAAGATCACCTAATACGTGGATCTCTTTTACTGCTTGTTTAAACTTTTCCAGACAGAAATCTTTATTTTCCAAGCCTTCTTAATAAACAGATTATCATTTTAATCATCTAATGAATATCAGTCATCATCTAGGACTATGCAATACTATGACAGTATCTTCAGGCCCCCTCAGTATATCTACAATACTTTCTTAGGCCTTTCTTTTACAATTGTAAAATTAAAATGGCTTTTTTATTTGCTTTCTGATTTCTTTCATTATTTTTTGTTGCTGCTCACAGCTATCATAACTGTTGTATTTAAAACAAATTTGCTAAAGAAGTGCCTGAAATGACAGAGGTTTATGTTTTCCTATTAGTACAGCACATAAATGTTAGTAGCTAGAGGGAAGAAGCAGTCCTCAGCACTTCAGTTTATACTGAGTTCTGAAAACATTAAAAATTAGTCAAAAATATCGGGGTCCTGGGATCGAGCCCCGTGTCGGGCTCTCTGCCTGGCAAGAAGTTTGCTTCTCCCTCTTCCTCTGCCTCTCCACCCCTCTTCCAGCTCACTCTCAAATAAATAATCTAAAAAAAATTAGTCAAGAATAAAAAATGATGAAAGTTAATATCTCAGAAGGTACACAATAACAAAAATGACATACACTATAGTCCTCCTTTATCTGCAGGGGCTATGTCCCGAGATTTCCACTGCATGCCTGAAAGCGTGGATAGTAATGAACCCTGTATGTTCTCTCCTAATACATATATACCTGTGATAAAGTTAAATTCATAAATTAGGCACAGGAGATGGACAACAAAAACTAATAATAAAATGATTATAACAATATACTATAGTAAAAGTTATATAAATATGGTCTCTCAAAATACCTTAATGTACTATACTCACAGTTCTTATGATGATGTAAAATGTTAAAATGCATATGTGATGAGATGAAGTGAGATGAATGACATATATGTATTGTGATGCAGCATTAGACTATACTGACCTAGAAAGTTAACACTACTGAGAATAAGTTAGAAGGAGAATAATCTGCTTCCAGACCATGGCTGACTGTGGGTAACTAAAACCACAAAAACTGAAACCATGGAAAGTGAAACCACTGACAAAAGGGGACTACTGTAACAGATTTCTCTCCCATGTAAAGAGAACAGAGTACAGTGTTAAGACCAATGAAGAAACTATACTTAAATGTATTACATACAAAATTTCCTTGGGGGTTGGGGAAGGGAGGGCAGGAAATAAAAGTTTAGTTATAAGCTAAGGTATTAAATTTATCACTACACTTACTCTGATAATAGCATACAATTAGATAAAATAAAAGCAAATAACTAGGGCTCCTCAGTGGCTCAGTTGGTTAAGCATCTGCCTTCACCTCAAGTCAGGATCCCAGAGTCCCAGGACAGAGCCCCCACATGAGCCCCAGTGTGGGGCTCCCTGCTCTGTGGGGAGTCTGCTTTTCCCTCTCCCTCTGCTCCTCCCCCTACTTGAGCTCGTTATCTGTCTCACTCCTCTCTCAAATAAATAAATAAATAAATAATCATTTAAATAAATAAAAGTAAGTAACCAAAAATAAACACAAGTCTGAATTTTCAAAGTATGCAACATGGGTGGCTTAATAGTCATCTCATGGCATTTAATAGCATTAAGTGAGAAGGATGGTCCCTATTATCAAAACCATGACATAAAGGTAAAACGTATAAAATCATTAAATAATAACCTGAAATCTCCTATGACTACCAAAAGGTTTTTTAAGGACTTACCCCAATACCATTTTCTCTATAAATACTTATTGAATGAATGAGTTAAGGTCACCTTAAATATGGTTACCTATTATCTTTCCAAAATTTGACTTCACTATGCCATTCTCCTCCTGTTTGAAATCATTTAGTGGCTCCCAAGTACTATTAGAATGGTTTAGCATTATAACCAAGGTCCTCCCTGATATACTTCTATTATATTATCAATTCATTCACTCCACAAATATTTACTGGACAAGCATTATTTTGATCTGATGATGGTGGCTAAGAACAAGGGTGATGATAGTGGATGAAAAGAGACTGGATTCTAAATCTAATCTGAAGGTAGACCCAATAGGATTTCCTGACAGACTGGTGAGATGCGATATAAAGAAAAAAAAGTAAGAATGGCTCCAAGATTTTTGGCTTGAGCAAGTAGGGCGGAACTACAATTAAGAAGGATTATCTTCAGGGCACCTGGGTGGTTCAGTGGGTTAAAGCCTCTAATTTCGGCTCAGGTCATGATCCCAGGGTCCTGGGATCAAGCCCCACATCGGGCTCTCTGCCCTGGAGGGAGCCTGCTTCCTTTCCTCTCTCTCCGCCTGCCTCTCTGCCTACTTGTGATCTCTGTCTGTCAAATAAATAAATAAAATCTTTAAAAAAAAAAAAAAAAAGAAAAAAGAAGAGGGATGATCTTCACTAAAACTCTGTTATAGAGATAGTGAAAAGAAAGTGCTCTTCTAAATACATCTTTTTTTTTTTTTATAAAGTTACCCTTCTCTTTACTCCCAGAATACCAATTTAACATTATTAGTGTATTCACAGCCTTGTATTTAATGTCCTGCAATTGAATTTTTGTCTGCATCCTGAAGGCAAGTACTAAATTTTATCTTTAAATCCCCAGAACCAAAACAGCCTCGCCTGTCTCTCAATATAGCTTTAATAATGAATAAATGCTCTCTGGAAATGAAATAATCTTTTAATGAGAAAAAAAAATCTTTGCCTCCAAAAGTTGGTATAATATATTGGGGGAAAAAACACCCCTGTGTTTCCTAGGCCTGTTTCTTATTTCTTTTGAACAAATTAGAAACCAAATGCTATGTTTCATTCTACAAGGTCATTCCTCTTAGAATTCGAAGGCTAAGGGAATGATGATACAAGAACATAAAGGTATTAATGCCACTCTGAAAAGAGCTGAGAAAGTTTCTAACAGAAATCATGTCTGAGTTTTACCATGAAAGCAAAATAGGATTTTTCTTATTCTTTCCTTTTTCTCCAGGAATAATAAAAGAGATGGAAAGATAGGCTTTTGAACAAACTATGAAGCTTATATACCTTTTATATAAAGGGTTTGGAATTAATCTAAAAGTAACAGGGATCCAACAAAAGAAAAGGAGACAATCAAAACAGATATAAGTCACAGAGAGATCATTCAGAAAATGCAGGTGAAGAAAATCAAGGCTAAGGAAGCAAATGGATGAAGTCTTTATCAAATAGATTATCAGTCTTCAAGGTTTCTGGACTCTAGCAATGGTGAGGTCACTCTCTAACAAAGAATATTAAAGGAATCGTAATTCACTGGGAAAAGTAATTGTAAAATGTGATTTGTTACACTTGAAGCAAATAATTTAAACAGTAGGCTTTCACATTATAAGCTATTTGGTTGCTAAGTGATAGCAAGAACAACTGTTAGGACCTTGATCAATTATGTACTGACTTGAAACTGTTATCTCATAGTATTACGTTGTTCCATCTTATCTCTTTATTCCTAGACTATAAGCCCCTTAAGGGCAAGGGCCAAATTTTCCAATTATTTTAACTTCCTTCTTATCAAGTCATATAATGTTGCTCACACAATATTGCTAAATTCTGTTAAGAATCTGCGAAGTTCAGAGATCATTCCAGTCACCATTACTCTCAACTTTGTCAGCAACTAAAAAAACATTTAAACTTTTAAGAATGCTTTATCAAAGCTTTATTAAACAGTTTATTAAACCTAATCAAAATCTTTAAAACTTAAGTAATGTGCTAACCTGGAGAGCATGTTTCATTTTGTGATATAACTTCAGACTCCTCTTTTTCGCCAGAAAGATCCTCTTCATCAGAGAGGACCAAAAAGGCTTCTTTTGGCAAACTCTCACTGCTTTCTTGTTTAGATGGTGAACCAAAAGAACCTTCCATCTTCTCTTCCAAATCTGGATTTGTCTCATCAATTGGAAGGAGAGAAGTTTTAGGAAAGCAAGTAAGTTCATCTTCAGCTGGTGCAAGCTTTTCTAAAATAGGAATAATTTCATCTGTCTCCATAGAATCTGTATTTTCCAAGGCAATATCATTTTTGTCATCTTTTGTAACATTTTCAATAATGGTTTCTGCAAGGTCTGCAGAATTTTCATCTTCATTCTTTTCACTTTGGTCAATTTCCATACTGCTAGATATAGCCTCCTCTCCAAGAGCAGGTTCTGTAACAGCATCTTCCTTTAACTTCTTTTCATTTTCAGGAGGTAGATCTGAACAAATAACTGTATCATCTGTTTCTAGGGTTTCTTCATCAGCATCGATATTACTATCAGCTTTGTTTTTCTCATCAAATGCGAAAATCTGGTCTAACTTTTCATCATCCCCATTTTTTTCCAGAAAATCATCACCTTTATTACTACTAGGCTCGGTACTGTCAGTATCAGGAACAGCTTCACAAACTGATAAAGAACTTGGTTCAAAGATGGGATCAAAAGCTGATTCTGAAGCCAGTTCATCAGAAGTGGGTTCATCAGAGGCCAGATCACTGGAGGCTGGATCACCAGAGGCTGGATCACCAGAAGATGGATCACCAGAGGCCGGATCATCAGAGGCCAGTGCTCCAGAAGACAGGTCACCAGAAGCTGAATCACCAGAGGCTGGATCACTGGAGATTGGTTCGCCAGAGACTGATTCATCAGGGACCAATTCACCAGAGACCAATTCACCAGGGAATGGTTCACTGGAGACTGTTTCACCAGAGACTATTTCACCAGAAGTGATATCACCAGAGGTAGAATTGCCAGAGGTGGGATCACCAGAGGTGGGATTGCTAGAGGCAGGATCGCCAGAGGTTAATACTTCAGAGGCCAGACCATCAGGGGCTGAATCTCCAGAGGCTGGATCTCCCATAGCCAGATCAACAGAGGCTGGCTCCTCAGAAGCTGGTTCAGGAGTCAGTTTACAGACTAGCTCAGGAGCTATACTATTAGGAGACGAAGTTTCATGCTTTAAATCATCATCCTGCTTGTTTTTTATATTAACATTTAAGGTACAAGAGGCTTCTTTCCATTCTGATTTACTTTTTTCAGGGTCAAAACAAAGCTCTTCAATGCCATTCACCTCCTCCTTGTCATTAATATAATCCGTATTTTCCAAAGGTGAGGTTGGGTCCAAATCTCCATTTTCATGGTTGCCATTTACAAGCTTGACATCAGCTTTCAACAGTTCTTCTTTGACCTTGTACACTGCTTCAAGTTGCTGACGATCACTCACTCTCATTGTTTTTCGAGCCTTAAAGACTTTTTTCTGAGGTTCTTCTACACTATCCATTTTGAATCTTTAAAAAGAGAAAGAGAGAGAGTTTAATAATTGAATCAGAAGCCACCTAATCATAGATGAACTGCAAACTGATCTTGTAAGGAAGCAGCCTTTCATGTAATTTTGAAATAATGACATATGGAAAGCATAATCTTTGCTGTGTGTTAATTTTCATATTAATTGTATTTGTGCAATATAAAATTGATAACAGGTACAAACCACAGAAGATCACTTATCAGGAACTGATGGGTCCCCCAATGATAGGTCCGTAATCAAAGCGAAAGTCAAGCAAAGCTTTATTTCGCGCCAAGCATCGAGAATCAAACCGCCTCTTACAGAGAGGGCGACTCCTCCCAGCCTCACAGACTAACTTTTATAGAACAAAGGCCATGTGGTGGCCAATGAGATTGTAACACACAGAGAAAGCTGCACAGTCATGCTAGGTCACACACAGGTGGCCAACTGAATTACAATTCACCCCACTGTAGCTATTTGAACTAGTCTATCACCTTGGTCAGAATTGGCGCCCTGAAGGCGAGGCCCACACTCCTTGGTAGCTAGGGAGACAGTATGCGCCCCACTGATTGGATGTCTCCACCGGCCCAACTCATGACTCATCCCTGCATTCGGGTTCTGTTATTTCCACCTGACCTGACCCGCCCGTGTATTTGGGCTCTCTTATCAGGGACTAGTCTCCATATTTTACTGGTTTCCTGGACTTGCTTTTAAGTAATTTCCCCTGGGGTGGGGGGGGGGGGCAGGGTCAGTTTAAGTTTTACTGCGTAAACAACAAAATCACTGTTTAACCTGATGGAATCGCTCTAGCTAAATAGGCCCTTACAGAACTATTAGAAAAAAAGTGACTAGCTCTTTGTTTGGGGGGAGGGGAGCAGAGCAGCAAGAGTAGGTCTTTAGAGCCACCCTTGGTGCAGGAACTGTGATGTCCCCTCTTCTTCCACTTCTCATTGCAAATAATTAAGGCCATTCATACCATTAAAAAAGGAAAGAGGAAAAAAAAGGAACAAGTGAGTAGTTTTAATTCTCAGTAAGCTAATCAATTCAGAATCTGGAGGAGACACATAAGCATATGCAGCAAAATAGCTGATGGATAAAGAAAAATAAAAGTATGAGAGACCAAAAGCAGTAAAGGAATGGAAAAAAGATATACAGATTAAAAAAAAAAAAAGGAAAATTAAGAAACACATAAGGAAAGATTACAATTGCAATCAGGTATATCTAGATTAACAGTACTGCAAACATATTTACAGAAGATTACCATCAAAAAATTGCTAAGACAATTCACATAACAAGAAATAGTTACAAACCATATATTTGCAAATAATTTATCTAAGAGACTTGCATCTAAAAAGTATAAAATACTATTATGACTGAATAATAATAACCCTATTTATAAATGGACAAAGTAACTGGGGCGCTTGGGTGGCTCAGTCGGTTAAGCATCTGATTCTTGATTTCAGCTCAGGTCATGATCTCAGGGTTGTGAGATCAAGACCGATGGCGGGCTCCACACTCAGCAATCTGTGCTCAGCAGAGAGTCTACCTGGGATTCTCTTCCTCTCCCCTTCCTTCTGCTTCTCCCCACCTACCCCAGCTCAAGGGAGAACAGACTTGCTCTCCCCCTAAAATAAATAAATCTTTTTTTAAAAAATGGACAAAGTAACTGAATAGACCTTTCTCCAGAAGATATACAAACTGCCAATAAACTAATGCCAATAAGCACTAAAAATGAAAAGATGTTAACATTACTAGTCATCAGAGAGATGTAAATCAAACTGCAATGAGTTAACACTTCATATACACCAGGATGGCTTTAATCAAAGAAAATAATGAGTATTGGTAAAGTGACAGACAAATCAGAATCCTCACACAATCAATGCTGGTGGGATTATAGAATGGTGCAGCTGCTCTGGCAATCTGGCAGTTGTGCATCACACTAAACATTAATCATTAATTTTCTATCTTTCCTCTTTTGCAATAAACATAAAGCTATACATTTCCCTTTGAAGGTGGCTTTAGCTGCATCTCATATTTTAATGTTATATCTCCACTGTTGCGCTTAAAATATTTTCTAATTTCCATTGTGATTTATTCTTTCATGTGTCAATTATTTTAAAATTCCTTAAAAGGTATATGTTATGACTATGTGAAGTTCATTAAAAAATACAAGGTTGGTTCTACACTAAAAAAATAATAATAATAAAAGAAAAAAATCAAGCAAAGTAGATTATAAGTGAGTCATGAAGCATTATGACTTTATTTCAGGCCAAATCAAGGTGTCCATCTGACAAAAGTTTATTAGAACCTCAAGCCCCAACACCTCAGAATGTGACCTTATTAGAGTCTTTGCAGAGATAAACAAGATAAAATAATGTCATTAGGGTGGGCCCTAACCCACTATGATTGGTATCTTTATAAAAAGGGGAAATTTTGGGTTTTCTTTTGTTTTGTTTTGTTTTGTTTTGAGTAAAGCAACAGACATTTATTAAGTGAAGATACAGAAAAAACCTCTCAAGAGTGAGAGGGATCCCAACAAGGTTGCCCAAAAAGTGGAAAATTTGGATACAGACATGTGCACAGAGAGAACCATGAAAGAACTGGAGTTTGACTGTCACAAGTCGTGCCTAGGAGACAGGACTAGAAGAGGCCCTTTCTTAGTTCCTGCATGGCCCTGGATCACCTCGATTTCAGACTTCTAGCATCTGGAACTACAAGACAGTAAATTACCAATTTAAATACATACATACATAAAATTCAAGCAATGAATTCAATATTCACTACATAAACAGAATAGAAGGTCAAAATAAATGAGATTATTAACAGATACTGAACATTCATGTAACAAAATTTAACACTGACTCATAATTAAAACTCTCAGAAAACTAAGAAGAAAACAAACGTAATAAAAGTTATTTACAAAGAAAACTATAGATATCATACTTAATGGTGAAATAAGATCAGAACCAAGAAAAGGATGTTCCCTAATACCATTTCTATGTTAACATCTAGCCAGTGCAGTAAGGCAAGCAAAAGATGCAAGGACTTCGTTCTGGAGAAAACCGTATTACAACAGTCTATAATGGGAAAAAAACCAGAAGTCTTTTATGCACTAAGATACACAGGAAGAAGAATATTGCTTTCACACTGGATATTCACTCATTATCACCATTACCTGTAGGAATGATGGTTGTATACACTTGCTTTGGCTGGAGAGGGGGCCAGGAAGCAGGCTCTGACATCCGGGAACTTAATCTGAGGCTCATAGTTAGACCTCATTGTTATAAATTGACTTGATGCTTACAACTAAGCCATGCTGTTTTCCTGAACATACAATCACCTCAACATTCAAATTAAACAAGGTAACTGTGCAACCCATGAAATATCATATCTCTTTCTGTCTCTAAATAAGTGATGGCTGCTTTTTTTTTTTAATAAATCTCAGCTTTATCCTCAATGTAGTCTGTCCTCTCTACAGATAAGATTTATTAAGATAACCAAGCATAGAATTGCCCCCACTTTCTGATAGCACCCAATCCAGAGTAAGGCTCTATTTCCTCAAACCCTCCCCTTACAAATAACCCAATCTCTACTATACTAAACCCAAATCCTATGTTATAATCTTTTCTAATATTCTTACTGACTTACTGACTGATGTGCCTCAGTTTCCCCATGGTGAGCATTCTCCCTTGCTGCAAAAATAATAAACCCAACGTGTTGAATTACAGGTCTGATTCTGGTGTTCCATTGTTCTTTTTGGCTGAAAGGCATAAAACAATGCCTAGTCTATTTGCTAGAGGCCAATAAAGCTTAAAACCTACCACTTTGTTATAGCACTTCTAGACTGTGGTACATTCTACATTCATTTGCTCACTTTAAGCCAATTACTTACAATATATTTCTTAGTCTTCCTAGCCTTTTAATTATTGAACTCAGAAAAACTATTCAGAAAAACTATCTTTCAATTTAACAGAAACTTCAACGCAGAATTATCATAGGCATTATTTTAACGGTTATTCATTACAACCTACCATTTAACCTTCAAGTTTTTTTCCACCCATATCCATTTCAAACTCATACTAACAGAAAACTTTTCTGCAAAGAAGATGCAATGCAAATTTTATAGTCACACTTTCTTGCTGACTACAAAGACAGAAAATAATTTATAACATAAGGAGTATGATTACCTTTTAAATATTTTTAAATACTGAACTGCAATTCTTTTGGACCCTGACCTCATGATGTCCCCATTTCTCAGCTGCTATATGGGAGCTGTCAGTTATTGAGGACTGCATTAAAAGGAAGCATTCCTCTAAAAAAAAGTAAATTTTCATAATTTTCAGTAACCCCTTTAAGAACATATATCCTGCTGGGATACCTGGGTGGCTCAGTCATTAAGATTCTGCCTTTGGCTCAGGTCATGATTCCAGGGTTCTGGAATCAAGTCCAGCATTGAGCTCCTTGCCCAGCAGGAAGCCTGCTTCTCCCTCTGCCTCCTTCTCCCTGTTTGTACACACTCTCTCTCTCTGACAAATACATAAACAAAATCTAAAAAAAAAAAAAAGAACATAATTCTGCAGACAGAAACATGGATTCGAATTCCAGCTCTCCCATGTATTTTACCATGTAACACAGCAAGTTTCCTAACATTAGTTTCAGCTATCTTAAAAAGGGAGTATCATTGTCAGTATCTGCCACAGAAGTTGTAGTCATGATTAAATGAGATTCTACACATTAAGGACTCAGAACCTAGTAAACACTCAATAACATTATCGTAATTGTCTATGTATATTAAAATGTTTTTAGAAACAAATTAGAGAATCTGAGATAAACTTCTCTTTACTTCTGGCATTTTGTAAATAAGTTAGAAAATCCAACATGCAAACATCACAGTTAAAGTTAAATTGCCACCACCAAATAACATTGAAGAAAAAGAAATATTATCTACACAAGCTGGTTTTACCCATTAAATTGCCATTCAACTCAGTAATAATAAAGTAGTGT